TAAGTCTCTTTGCTGGTTTTTCTTCCATTCTGAGTGGTAGTGATGACCTGGTTGGACTAGAGTCTCTGAGCATTTCTCTGAGGATCTTTGAAACCACCTGATCCACTCATGCTCCTTTGCACGCTGTGTGGCAACTCCCCTGCCTACTCAGACTTTTTTCTTTAAAATGATACATAACTGCATTAGCTTTGGGTATATAACATAACAATTTGATATTTACATATATTGGAAAGTGATCATAAGTCTATTTACTACCTGTTAACCATACAGTTGGTCCTTTTTACCCAACCCCCCTTTCCCTCTTATAACCACTAGTTTGTTCTCGGTATATATGACAGATTCATGCTTTAATACCAGCTATTTGCATGTTTTTAATGTGTTGCTTTTATGAAATTTCAGGATTTTGCTGACACAAAGGATGTCCCCTATCTGGTGTTGGACAGACCCTAGGAAGCATACATCTTTCCTGCAGTAACCCTTGTAAGCAGCTGTCAGCTTACTGGAGGAGGGGAAACTGCCTAGAAATTTTGGGGCACTTAAATATCAGACAGCCTTTATTTTGTCTTAAGTACTTTATCAAAAGGATTCCAATAAAATATTTTAAAGCAAATAAAAAATAGATTGGTCTCAGTGAAAACAATATGATACAGAAAGGTTAGGGAGGTGAAAGTTCACCACTAGTCAGTGAGCCTCACAGCTGACGTCTAGCTGGACCCCTTTACAGCTGTGTACAAAAAACTAAGGTTTATTACACATTGACACTAATGTTAAGGATTTCCAAATATTATATTTGAGAGTTTCATGATACCATTAACACAGGCATCCAATTTACCTTTTGATAAATTAGTGAAAACAGGTTGTTCAGGTATATTTTAAAAGAATATACTTCTGGTGGTTGTCAAGGGCTGGGCAAAGAGGAGTGAGGAGTTATTGTTTAAATGGTAGAGGGTTTTACAAGATGAAAGGAATTCATGGGGATGGATGGTAGTGATAGTTGAATGGTATAATAGATGTATTTATTACTCTCAAGCTGTATGCTTAAAAAGGTTAAGATGGTAAATTTTATGTGTGTTTCACCGTAATAGGAATTTTTTGGGGAAAAGCATACTCTCTTGTTCCTTGTCAACATCACAAAGGTGGTTCCCTACCAGCATGTACAGAATATGCTGCTATTAGACTGTACTATAAATTATCCAGTTTGTTTTAGGCGGCATTAGATTTCTGGTCATGCTGTAGTATACCAGTGCTGATTCCCTGTTGATTTGCACCCATATGAAGTTGTGTTGAATGTATTTCCAAAAGTAGAATGTCAGTGGCAGGATTTGGGCATTTAAAATGTGTGTTCCATAAGGTTGTCCAGTTTACACTTCAACATCTGCCCCTTCAGAGTGCCTGTTTCTCCATTCCTGCCCTCACTATTCCAGTGGTAATACTTTTTAGCAACAATGTACCTAACCACTCATCTGCATCTTCCTACTGAGCATTTCCAGCTTGGTCCCCATCACTTGTCAGCAAAGATTTTTTCCCAACCTTTATTTTCCTTAATCACCTTTGTCAGTTTTCCTTTTTTCCTCTTTGAGATTGCTCTGTTTGGTACTCCTAACCAGACAGGCTCCCATTGCTATTCTCCAGTCAGAGTCTGTATCATCTTAGCAGCCACCATGTATTTAGTGCTTCAGTCTGTGCTAGGCTTTTTATGTGCTTCACTTTATTGAATCCTTAAAAAAAATCAGCCTTGTAAAGTAGACATCTATCTTTGCAGGCAAGGAAGGGAAAGCTCAGGGATGTTAAGTCATTTGCTTAAGATCACAGTATCAGGAGTATCAGTCAGCATTGAACTTCCTTGTGTCGTGTCCCTTGTGTACCTGTCCACCTACCTTTAAGACTACCAATAACGAGGCAAACCTACCTTTGATTCAATTTTTCTCCCATGCAGAGGAAACCACCCAGCTGAGTTGTAGCTGTATCATTCTGACTTTTCTTGGTACTCTGAATTCATCCCTAAACAATACTGTTTGGTCTTGTATCTTTTTGAGCTTCATAAATAGAGGCTAATTACGTACTTGCTTGGTATTTTAATATATTCCTGTAGTTAATTTAGGTTTCACCCTTCCACACACATTTCTGTCCATTTTAATTTTTGAAAAAACGTTGGAATAATGGGTGTCTCAATAGTGTATATGAGGACTTGTATTAGTGCATTTTTGTAGGGTGACCGTATCACATAGGAAGTATAGGGGATTGGTTAAGATTTGGGAGCAAACTGAACACTTACAGCTAGTCTATCACAATTTCCTTGTTTGTAAATGGATTGAGTACCTACTCAGAGTTGTTAGGATTAAATATATGTAAATACTCTAAACTGCCTACCACATAGTAAACCTATTTAGGTATTGGCTACAATTATACTACTCCAAATAGCTTAGACATTAGTTTACATAGATAACCTCGTCAGTACCTTGTCTATCCTTAATCCCTGACATGGCTGTTAGATGGTGGACTTCATCTTGTCCCTAGGGTCTCTTCTGTATTCTCTACCTGGACTTGTGTGGTCCAGGTCCTCCTGTAGGTGTTTGGACCCTCCTTGTGCTAGCTTCAGGTTTAGGGTCTAAGATTGAGCTACAACCATGGTAAAGATGGTAACATGAACTTCTTTATTCTAGGCTTGGGAATCACTTTCCAGTCTGCATTCTTGAGCCCCACAGTCTCTCCACAGGGGTGACAGTGATTTGATAAGACCCCTATCCTAAAGCAGTCTTTTTAAATTCACCCCTTAGGCTCTAGGAAGGGAGCAAATTCATAAGAAGCCAGTCCCCTCCCAACCCACCATGCAGATCTCAGTTCTCTAGTTAGTCTAAGCAGAGACTGGCCTGTCACCTCAGCTACTGAAGACAGTGAGCCTCCCAGGGCCTGGCCTCCCATCCCTGCAATCCTCAGCAACTGGCCAGTGTGCAGTCTCCTCCCGAACAATACCTCTACCCTGCCAGCTGCTGTGCCAGGACCCCTGCAGTCTGTTGGACTCTTGTTCACACCTACTACGTCCAATTTGTCAGCAAATCATGCTGGCGCTACCTTAACACTAAAATTTGCATCGCTAACCTA